CAGAGGGATCTATCGAGGGACAAACGAGATCGGCAAAGAGGCGAGAGAGATATTGAGAGAGCAAAAATACGACGTGTCTAGTACAATAAAGTCGTATGACATACTCGTACCTTCCAAGGACAAATACAGTAGTAATGCGATTACTAATGTCGTGGGCAGTTAATATAGAGATGAAATGTTTAGTCAATGGTGTTGCAGTAAATGCAAATATGCTGGAAATTTTCACTTCTATAACAAACATGCGGAATCATACTGAAAAGCATTCAATTTAGGCTAATCTCTTTTTAGAAACTAGATTTGAAAGTTCCCTTGCGATGACGCGAGTCAAAACTGCCGTTTAGAAATACGTACAGTACACGTGATTATACGGGCGATCGTGACATACGATGTCACGTATATGTTCTCTTTTTTATACTTCTTAATTTCCAAGTATTTACGTTAAAGAATCAATCAGCCAAGTATGATGATGTAATCAAAATTATGTATCGTTATCGGTAGGATATCACATTTATTGCGAATTAGTGAATTGGAACATATCCCATTATTATTATTATTAAGTCGATCATTCGCAAAAGCATTTTTTAATCTAAATCTAATTTTAAGATTAGACTGAAGATATCGACCATATCTCTCTCCCACTCGAAACATAGTGCATTTTTCTGTGCATAATATCTCTTACAAACTGAGTGAAGATCAAAATCTTTCCTATTTATTGAGGATAAGAGCGTTTCCTTCAATAGCAAATTACATAGAGGAATCAGATGGTCTCGATGTCGACATCCATGTTTGTGAGAGAAACAGAGTATCGAAATGCACGATCAATTGCATGTGCAAAACGCACATTGTGAAAAACAAGAACTTACTGTACGTGGCATATTCCACGAATACTTACTAATATAGAAAGAAAAAAATGGATCGAAAAATCAGTCAAGTAACTTTCTTTAGCCACTATAAAATAAAGAAAGAGATGAAAATTTCCGCTCACAAGAAACAAAAAAAATTGCCATACTGCCAAATTGACAATTATTAATGCTGTACTCACTATGAACAGTAGGCATCTTCTCATTATGATAATGTTAGATAGATTATAAGAAAAATTGTTTTAAGGATAGATTAAGCGACGCCATTAGGGAAATGAGGATGAAAGAAGGACCCGAATGAAAGAAGGATGAAAGGAAACGGTGCCTATTCAATGAAAGGTGCGCAAGTAAATTTGCGCACGTTTCTATAAAAGAAGAAAAAAAAACTAATTTAAATAGAAGCACTGTATGTTGAATTCGTGTACTGTTCTCCTAAGCCCTCGATACCCTTATGTACAAAGTTCCAACATAGCTTCTACCTCGAGAATATTTCTAATTTCCTTTCAAATATATTGAAATGGATAATTACAAATTCAATTATCAGTTCAATGCTTTTTTAGCTTATTAAAAATCCAAATATCTTATTAAAAATCAAATTTACGCTGAGTGTTCATATTATGCATTAAATCATCGACGTTTGTAATATAAAATTTTTCTTTTTCAAATGCCAGATCAATGCCAAGAACGCACAATAAAGAACATCGCTACATGATATATTTGTTACGGTGAAAATATTTAATCTGGTAATTTTATAAAGTTTCTGATAATTCTACAGAATTATTGGTTGTATTGGCGAATAATACAATCGAATATTTTTTCTTAAGATTAGTGATCAATTGATTTGATCAAAATAAATGCATTGACTGCTTTAATTTTAACGCCAATAAATAATAAATATATTTACCAATGTGACCAATGATTCTATTGAATTATATGATTTTATAAAAGCACCAACTAATCACTTTTACCGTGACATTATCCATTTTGTATAGTAATAATGGAATGTATTGCAATTTCAAATTGCAAGCTTTCCAGTTTACGAGGACAATAATTGCTCGATTACACTTTCTTCGAAACCTATACGATACTGTTCGGTATAGCAAATCTTGTAGCTAACATTTTAGAAATAATTTTTAAAAAAGTGTACATGTATAATAACGAACATAACGTCATCTAAATAAAGTAATTTATTGATCATAAATCTTTTCCGGTTTTTGGCATTCTTTTGGCTATAACAATTCTACACTTATTACGAAATACTCTTGATATGTTGAAACTATACAAGTAATGCAATACGGAATGCTATTTCACAATTTTATACAATTTTGCTCGAATACTCCTTTTACCGTTAGTTATTGTGGTTCGAGGGTCAGGAACTGTGACTAAATGTATATAAATGCACCATCTGTCATTAGCAACATTATATAAATATATAAATATATATATATATATACATAAAATTATAAGTAATATATACATAGATATATATATATAGATATCATAAGAGATACAAGTGTGCATAAGGACATGAAGATATTTAAAAAGATATCGGTATTTTCCAGAGTACCGTGTTAAGTTTTAACACAAAAAATGTGAAATCTACTCAGTACGTTGTATCCATCTGTAATTTTCTCAATCTATTATTTCCAATTTTATATTTGTTAAATACATTTTTTACGTTTTTTTTTTTTATGTATTTATCGTATTGTTTTAATGAATGTACTTTTATAATGGCTTTTGAGCAGTTTCTTTACAGATTGGTTTATTAAAAAAATTATTTATTTGTTTTAGTAATATTTTTTTCTAACAAACTGAGGGCCATCTCATACAATGTTTACTATGATAAATTCTTTGTGCTTGAAAAAGTACTTAAAATATTTTATTAATATTAAAATGTACGTAATTATATAATACATTAAATTTGTCACTGCCTTTTAAACCATTTACAACCATCATGGCATTTTTCATAATTTATAATATAATGGTAATAATTATAGTACTAATTGTAATAATAATATGTAATGATAATACTAGTTGTAAAAATAATTCTACGATTTGCTTTATGTCAAAGTTCATTACATAAATAACACTTTAAATTAACGACATATTTTATGTTATCATGTTAAGTGTTTCTACAATGTGGCAGCAGATTTTTTTTATTACTATTTGGCCTTCAGAATGTAATCATAAGCAGCTATTTAACATGCAACATTTTATTTTAAAGAAAATATATATTTATACAATATTTTTTATATTATTACTTCTTTTATAATTTTAATTTATTAGAAACATTGCTTTAGTAAAGTTTCTTTATATAATGTGCTCCTATTAAACATTTTCAAGCAAATTAAATTATGAATAGCTTCGAATATGGCAGAAAATGATTTTGTAATATTTTTATCTTTTTGTGTGTATAATTTCAAAGATTATAATCGATATTTAAAGACTCACACTTTTTAAGATATTGTATGAAACAATTTATACATGGTGTATGACTGGATAATGTTTATTAGCTTTCTTACAAACGCGATTGAAAATACTAAATTCGAAACATGTTTTAAGACATTAAGGTATATAAATATTTGAACAATTTTCATCTGTAAATAACATTAACTTATTTTCACATTGAAATATTTTATTCCATTAGTGTATAATTAATCGGTCAACGTTCACGAAGTTAAATTATTTTTACTGCTAATTTTGGTAAAGTAGTTCTTGGTATGGGAACATTTCTCAAGAAGAAAACCAGTAGCTCTTAAACTTTAAAAAGTCAAACGCCCTGTACACGCTGTGGTTTTTATTATAATGTTCTTAAAAAGAGAAAAAGACTTTTGCTAAGAATAACTTTCAAATCATTATGATAAGTATTCATCTGTAACAAATCATTAAGCGTTTCATCCCATTAAACATTCTTCTTAGAATACTGTAAAGCGTATTAAGTTTTAATAGCATTAAACTTGGCAGAACTTTTGTAAGAAACTTATGAATTTGAAACTTATAAGTTATAAATTTATGTGATTTCAATGTAATTATATTATCAACATATGTACTTTGCCAACTTTCTTAATGGCTTCACGTTTAAAATCCCAAGCTAAAATATGTTACCAAAAACAAAATTAAATTATTGTATAAATATACTACTAGTTATAAGTTGATATCATTAATCTATACTCACTAAAATTTACTGCTACAAGGAAGTCCACAAAATATTCGTACATTTATATTATAACATAATAATTGTAATGTTACACTAAGTTTTTTGTATCATTCCCTGAAACTTTCGTGTATGTTGTATTTTAGTACAGTAATCCTTAGTCTTTATAATTTTTTAATGATCTAAAATGTATAGCAAAACGATATGTGGTTTGTTGTATTCTTCTTCTTGAAAACTTACGACTCGCGCGTGTCTTCGGAGCAGTTTTGATAATATAATAAAATACAATCGGCTACTATAGCTCCGTGCAATATAGCGAGTTTGTTATTGTGTATAAGATCGCCTCGAATTCATCTGTAGATGAATCAGTAAAGTGACTGCGGTCACGAATCCGAAGAAGAATATGAATTTAAATGCAAAGAATAAGTCAAATACTAAATATCGTTGAAGAATGGGAAATTATTTTGTGATACTTTCTTGCCAGAAAGAATACAACAGGCTGAGGTAAAAACAATGATAAATGCAATGTTACTAATTAACAACTATACAAAATAAATATTGTGTAATAGGAAGAGTCTGTTGACGAGAAAAAAAAATACCGTGTACATTATGTATTGCCTTGCGGCATTAATAAACTAGTACTAACATATAACAAATGTTTTCTTCTTTTTAATATAAATATTCATTTTAACCTTTTCATGTGTAACAAGCCAGATAAACAAGCATCTCATCAAGTAATAATAATATAGAATCTGAAGATTGATAACGATTTATTATACATATAATACTTATAAGATACTGTCTAACATTATTTTTATATACAAACATTTGCAAATATTATAAACATAAATTTTAAGTAACACACACACACATACATACACACGCACGCACACACACACACACACACACACATACACACGCACACGCACGCACGCACGCACGCGCGCACACACACACACACACACACACATATATTAATTAATGTTTCATAATTTATATAACATTAGTTGGTTGATTGGAATTATTCGTTGGTGGACTCCTGGTCATTATTGATGTAACCTGTAGTAAAATAAATTTAAATAAGTATGCGATACACCTAAGTATAAAAGAAAAAAATATGATTTGGTTTCATAAAAATATACATTTTGAAGAACTTGTTTCCTGATGAAATCACTTGTGGCCGTTGAAATATTTTGATCATTTCCCATTTTACATTTGACATAGCCATATAGATTTGCACCGTTTAAAACTATGGCAATGCAAACGAGCAAAAGCCATTTGAATTTAAAACCAAATAACGCTGCAATAAATAACATTGACCAAAAAAATGGGCACAAAATCAGGGCTAACCAAAAGATTCGCGCCTCGGTTGCATTAATGCGGTTCTGTTGTGCACCCTGAAACACAGGGCACATAATAGACATTGGACTTACACATGTACAAGAAAATGATATTTAAATAATCTGAATCATTTAAAAATATATATTTTATAAATAATCACAATAAAAAGAGCAACTGGAATGGAACATGAATTTAGGTGACTGTCTACTTATAATCTGATTATTATACAAGTAGTTCTAGAAAGTGCCAAGGGCATAAAAATATAACAGCTGGAAAACCTTGAACAATCAATCCAATTAAATCAATGTTTGCTGAAACGTGACAAATGAAAAAATATACATGCTAATTGAAAGCTACATTTCAATATAATCTATGCAAATGGAATTTATGTGATATAAAATCTAATAACATTGATACAAGTTTCATATCTAAGTATAGAATCAAATAATTTTCTTGGTACAATGCTAAAGGAGGTATAAAAGAGCACTTTCTCGTTAAAGATTTTTATCACTATATTGCATGGCGACATAAATTAAAATACACATACAAATTTACATAATAAGCGAACCTTTTTAGATTCAAAAATCCAATGACTTTTGCCATCGTCATCCACATAATTCCACCATCTAAGGCCAACCATTAATCTTCCTGTAATATTTTTAACGGTCCAAAAATCCATCGATAAAAGTAGTACCACTGTTACAAAGCTTGCTATAAAACTATTTGAAAACAAGCCGCAAAACAAATAAACAATTATAGCCGCTATCCGGAAGGCCAAGTGAAACAGCGTAACATACGGGTGTCTAAAATTACAGAAAACAATATTTTATCTTACAAAAGTATGGCCTACTCGCATTTAAAAGATACACGATCTTCATTATTTGTACTTAAGCTTGTTGAAATTCTGGGCCTCCTCCTCCTCTTCTCCAAAAGCAATCGTGTCGTCATCCATCAGTAAGGGTACCTATAAATAAGAACATGAAACATTCGATAAAAAGAGTATCGAGCATGCATTTATATCCATGCAATTTATCTTGCATTTATTAATATCTTGGAATGCTACTGTAGGTAGTGAGTAGTTTAGAATGAATTTTCATCCATACATTTTTTGAATTTCGTATAGTTTTTGTTATTGAAATTTAGACAGCTTAAAATAACATTTAATAACATTAATAACATTTAAAGTTTAAGCTTTTACATTAAAAAATAATGTCAAGTTTAGTTGTTCTAACATGAACATAAAAAAGTGTAAAAGATTCTTAATTATGTGGGTAAATTTTCATCCAAATTCACCCAAGTAGTGTCAACTTAAGACAAATATGAATGACATTTCAGGATTAAATTTATATGCACACACACATTATGACGTGGAGAAATGAATTAACAGGAGCGAGAAACCTCCGTTTCTCGAGTGAAATAAAAAAAGGAGGAAAAAAAGAGACACGAAATTGAACCCCGAGAAACTCCCGCATTCGCTTCCGCAAAGGGCGTGATTATCCATATTACGAACCCTTCCACAATGTACGCTAGAAATACGTACGGAAATGCGCAAGCGAATGTCAGAGTGACGACCTTCCACCCACTATCGGCGACTAGAACTATTACCAGTTCCCCGCCGTAACGAAACGATACTTATTTTCGTTTTACGAGACAATCGGATACCTCATGGTTAGGAACGACTAAAAAAAATATGTGGCGTCAGTATGCGATCGATCGCGCGGAAGAATTACGGCGTTGTATACCTACCGTTGCGGACGCCATGTTTGCACGTTGACAGTCCGATAGTCGTGCGTCGTCTGCTGGGCACTACTGGACTCGAAAAGATGGTAGCCTCGCGATCGACAGCGACGACAGCAGCAATCTCGTGAAGTCTCGTCCCGTTGCGAAAAAAAACGTTGCGTTTCAAAACGCGTCGCGACAACGCTCGCGTTCTGCGGTTTCACTATCGAACATTATTGATCAAGGTAAACGCCTTGACATCGTTAATAACCGGCGCGGACGAAACCTTGAGACGCGGCGCCGACACAGACAAAAGTCGCGCCAATCATACGATTAATCGAACGCGGCGGCCGACTGGTCGAACGCAGGAGGCACGGACGCGCTCATTGGCCGCGTTACTTTCTCGCGCATGCGCGTTGCGTCTTACTTCGTACACTGTTGCCGTCGATTATTGGAATATATACGAATCGAATTCAACTTTGACCGAATTTTAATTAATTTAATCAGTAATATTTTAAGTAATATGAATAAAACTATTGAATTAATCAATAGAATTATGTTTGTATGATGAAATGAATTGAAAATAACGAATTGTATATTAGAGACTTTAAACAATTCTGCTGGTCGAGTTAATTGCTGATTAAATTAATTGAAGTTTGATCAAAATCGTCCTTAATTTACTTGTCGATTGAAACTGAATTTGAATTTGAATTATTAAGTTTGTAAATTATATTTTATAAATTATTAATTAAGTTATTTTTCAATTGATCGTGTTACATATCATAATTTATATAATTTCTTACTTAATAATGTAAAGCCTAATCTACAATATATACTTTTTACTCTTCTTGTAGCTTGCTTTTTATTTCTTGTCTTTTTCTTCTTTGTTATGACTATTTAATCGTGATTCTTATCACGTTTTTTTTTTATTTCTTCCTAAGTTCATCAATTTTTATTTAGATGATAGAAAATCAAGAAAGGAATAAGAGGCAAAAACCAAAAGAAAAATGAAAAGCAAAAAAAAAGATACGCTAAAGGAAGATATAAATAGCACATTAAGCTGTACAGTAGATTAAGCCTAATTGTTACGGTAAAGTGCTTCCTATTTAGACAACACAAGTCGCAACACAAAAATTATCTTCCGTGGAATTCCATGAATAAAAATAAAACAATACTTATTTTATGTCACTACGTGAAAAAATGTATGTATACACGGGGACATAAATGTTTAGTCATGTCTTTTCACACCTTCGTCCGTCCTTCTCAATACGCATGCAACTTCAAACGGCTAGGCATTTACGTTCCCGTGTGTACAATATATTGTATATTATATTTACATTTATATAGTAACAAATTATAATATTGATGTAATGTTATTATATTTACATTAAGTAGGAAATTGATATAATATTTAGAGATACAGTGTAATACAGAGTGAGCGTTTCTTTTTGTTTAATATTGATAAATAATAAGGTTGTGTAATACAACGTCGTCTACAATGTTTGCACGGAATAAGAAGTACGAGTAAAAAATCACAATGACACAAGTCGATTATTCTTCTCACATTCGACTGTGATTGAAATTTCTTAATCTTACTTCAAATTCATGTATTATAAACGGCGCATAATGATTCACTATGATATTCACTGGCTGATATTCATAATCGGATCTATTTAAGTCCGTCTTAAGTACATCTTAAGATGTCATGAACCAATCAGAAGACTGCATTAGCGACTTAAGACAGTCTTAAAATAAAAACCGACTATGAATACCGATGAATGTATCATTTATATCTCTTGCTAGAAAGCATCCATCAATTTGTGTTTAACGGTCAATAATCAAACATCAATCATGCAAACATAGATACGTGGGCGTTTTGAATATACCTAAAACCGATATAACTTGGTGATGCGGTAAATCCGGATTTACAATATATGTTTTAAGCCGTAAGAAAAGCCAATTACAGTCGAATGCGAGGAGAATAATTAATTGTGATTCGTCCATTCCTTAAGACTTTAAAAATCTATTGTCCTATTGGCCTATATTAAATTAGAGACTGAGGATGTGATTTCACGCTGCAAATGCTTTGAAGCTTTTTTTGATTGGTCAATTCGTAAAATTCTTTCTTCTGATTAATCAACGATGCATTTACATTCTATAAGTGCGATCCATTTGGCACTTTGATTGACCAATTAGAAGAAAGAATTCTACTAATAGAACAATAAAAAAGCGCTTCGAAGCATTCGGAGCACCAAGTGAACCATAGTTTTAGATTTAATTGAAATTTAACTATTGATCAATCAAAATAAAGTTTATTTAAAACTTATATTGATTTTCTTCCTTCTTTGATTAGTCATGTATTCTATTGTAACCTTAATCTATAGTATGATATGAGCTTTAGTTAGATATGACGTAAAGAAAACGCGTGCGTGTACGCAACGTACGTAATACGCGGCCCACGATATTCGGAAGTCGCGATTGACGGATACGATGGATAGGGACGACGCAGAGAGACGAGCGGTGATGTCGTCACAACACGCGCGCATGATGCACGTCGATGATAGTATAGGAACGTGTGGTCGCGACGTAATAGTGGCCCGTGCGTCGGTGGTGCGCGCGGTGGTTGAGATAAGCAGCGCGGGGGACTGAACGAAGTGCCGCAAGACCGGAGATCTCGCGCCGCGCCGTTCGGCTCTCGCGTTCGTTTACGCCCGCTCGCTCCGTTTCATTCCGTTGGCACACGGCAGTCCGCCACGGGACACGGTCGACCGATTGTAGGATCTGTCTCTCCCGCCTGATGTGACGGAGGCTCGCGATGCTCAAGAATCACACAGCGATCACCCAGGCGCTCCTCGGAACCCTGCTCACGTGGGCCCTCACCGCGGCCGGTGCCGCGCTCGTAGTCATCATTCGGGGAAAACAAGTGAGTATCGACCGGAGGATTATTCCTTTCGGACAATTCGCGCTCAGATCCCTATATGTCCGATAACGTCGTTTGCATAGAATCCGATCCTGGTCAGTGGGAGGAAACTTAACCTTACCGGCGCATCCGCCTGTGCGCGAAACTCTCACAACTTGCTTCGAAGAGAGCATTCGCATTGTTTTCAACTGCACACCGTACACTTTTCTGTCATTGACGCGCGTCTTTCAATTACACTTTACACCTTTTTCTCCTCTCTCTGTATAATACTTGATTTAAAGATAGGAAATGTAAAGAGAAATGTGGAAAATAATGAACGTACTTACTTAGTTTGTCTTTTCTAGATTTTAATTTAATAATTTATTATTCTAAATGTAAAAGAGTTTAAAAAGACATGATTATATTGGGAATGATTATATTGGGAACATGATTATATTGGGAAATTAAGATTAATTGGTGTCGGTTAATTGAATTTTGTCATAAATATATAAAAACATTGTTTATTTCAACTTCGTATTGCTATAATAAATATGTACTACTAATGATATTTTTCATTTCTTCTATTTGTAAATGTCATATAAATATAAATAAATACACCTTTTAATGAATAATATTTGAAAGTAACATTTCAAAGATCATTGGATATTTTTTTGCTACATGCAAATTTTTGAATTTCACTCGTTAACAATCGTCATTCTCAAGAGAAAAGAGCAAAACACAAAAATATTTAGATAAGTAGGACTATTACAATTCTCACATTTAAATTTAGATTCATTATAAACTTCGATAAAATCGCAACCGCTGCCGTCGCCGACACACAGCGATTGGCGGACCCGCGTAATCCGCCGCTTCCTTCATGCAATTTAATTCGCGCGCGCGTACGAGTTGAATATATCGTTGGAGAGAATCGAACTTCTGTATATATGTGTCGCGCGCTTTCACGTTCTCGTCTAGACAAGACATTTACGTTTGGCTATTTACGATTCATATGGATGGAAAAATCGAACGATGGGAGAAAAAATGAGAAAACGCTGCGTTGAATGATAAAGAGTAAGGCCAAAAACACACATTTTTTAGGTGATGTATTTTGTGGTCCTTGAATTTTTGAATCAACTATCAAATGATATATGCGCATGGAAGAAATATTATGCTGATTTTATAATGAGTCAGTAGTCAGAAGTTTTAGTCTTAATCGGTGAAGTTGGCCAATCAGCCTTAGTCAAGTTGGCTTTTGATCAACTTCACCGATAAGACTACCTTAGGAGTACCGATTACCGACTTATTGTAGAATCAGTGTTAGGGATAAATATTAAATATTAGAAATAAAAAAATTAGGAATGAAGGAATTAAACGTATCAAAGTATTGGAATAAATATAACAGGAATATAGAAATAGAAGAATTTTAAGAATAGAGATTAAATATAATGTACAATGGATACAAATAAGATATAAAACATATAAATATATACATATTTGTATATCTTTATATTTTTATTTGTAGGTATTCTCTAAAATTTTTAGCATAATCTCATTCTTAAAAATTGAAAATTGAACAATTTTCTTTTTTTTAAGATTGGCTCAATTTCGCTATTCACAAGGGAAAATTATGAGCTGTCCCTCATCGATTTTTATAAAATTTAGCAGTGTTAAATGTTCTTTTCAGATATAATATTATTCCATTTTGGCCGCAGATAGCAAATTATATATATTTTCGAGATATTAAATATTTTTTTAAATTTATTTTTATTTTATTTTTATTTCTCGAGAATTATTTCTACATTTAAATAAGTAAAAGTGTGTTATGCTGTTTCATTATTTATTATCACATATATATGTCACGAAAATTCGTTCTCTACATTTCTAAAATTTTGAAAATGTAAGAAAATACGATTAAAAACAAGAAGAATGCGATTCAATACAGATTTATTTTTTATATTGTATCTTTCGTATTGTATATTTATATTGTCTTTCGTATTATGAGATAAAATTGTTCGTAAAAACAAGTAAAGCATGAGGTCTTGAAATAAAATTAATTTTCGAACGCAAAATTTTTAATAATTTTATTGACGTTAATTTTCCTATGAATGTATATGAAAATAAATGTGAATGTAAGCTTGCATTTTTTGCACTATGTTTTTAATGCTTCAAGCATGTTTACTTGTTTTTACAAATTTTATCTCACATGTAAAAATAAAATAAATAAAGAAAGATAGTCTATATTGAATCGCATTCTTCTCATGTTCTTAATTTAATATTTTTCTTACATTTTCAGAAATTTAAAAAGTATAGAAAACAGATTTGCGTAACATATATGTGGTAATAAATAATAAAATAATATAAAGTATTTTTACTGACTTGAATATAGAAATAAAAATAAATTTAAAAAAAATTTTAATATCTCAAAAATACTTTGCTATGTGCGGCCAAAATGGAGTAATATTATATCAGGAGAGAACACTCAACACGCGCGCCAAGTTTCATAATAATTGATGAGGGACTGTTCATAGCTTTCCTTTGTAAATATTTCTCTCCAAAGAATTTAGAAAAAATTCAATGTGCATTTGTATTACTTTTAATTTCTGAATTACCTAAACTTTCTTTATTTCTAATACTTATCTGTGTATTTCTAATACTTAATATTTATCTGTGTATTTCTAATACTTAATACTTATTTGTGTACTCTACAATATTTTTTTATTATGTGTAGAGCCTTAATATTAAATTATAATCTTTATTGTCCTCCGAGAAGTTACAATTAAAACTCTACATTAATAAAAATAACACAAAAATCTGCCAGGTTCAAAAAGTCTGACATGGTAGTCGAAATAAATAGAAAAACGCAATAAGGAAAGCAGCCAATAAGAAGAGGCTGTTGCTTATCTAAGCTCGCTTAGAAAAAATGAATGCGCTATTTTTATTAATATAGAGCTTTAGTTACAATGGCTAATTTCGTTTTTCATTACAAGTGATATCTTATGACTAACTTTACTTATAATTAACTTATTATTATCTTATCTTACTACCATCTTACATTTACTTTGCAACGTAACTTATTCTCCAAATTTTCTAATATGATATTATTCTTAATATAATATTAAATTTTTTATTGCGCTATTTATTCTGCAACTTTATAAGAAATAATTTCTTGACTTTTTCATAAAATCCTCTAATAGGATTTATCTTTATTTACTCCGCCTCTCTCAATTATTGGCTCTAATCCAATTCTTATTTCTGTTTTTAGAAATTTTAGAATTTTCCGTCGAATTAATATTTGCTTTTGATATTGAGATGTACCATTTTTTTTTATTTAATTATGATTTTAACACAAAGAATTGTGCTACTTATTAATGTAAAGGTCCATCTGAGCTTAGACTCTAATCAATGGACTAGTTTTCAGTACACTATTGTACTAATCTTACTTGTATTGTTTGAATAAAATTTAATCAAGAAAAAATAATATTCTACTTTCTTCATATTATATTTAAAAATGCATTGCGTCTGGTATACAACAGTTTACCTTCGATAACTGGTTGATGGCCTTCGATAACTTCACTTATTATTTCGCAATAAGTGCCAGAATATGCAGAATTTCTCGAAGTTAGTCTATTCTGCGAAAAGTACCTTACATTGCATATCTATAATGATCTTGATAACAAATTTTTGCGTAGTGTACATTTTCCGCTGTATTTCACTGCGACTTTTAAACGAGTAAATCGAGCCAAATAAAAGTTTAAATATAAGTATGAATATTTATTAGAATTTTGTTAATATGTATATAAACGATTTAATTTGTAATGTTATTTCCTCATCAAAGGACTCCGCACTAATTATATGAAAAATTGAGTCTCCATAAAATAAATTAATTTTCAAATGATGTAACTTATAATATTGGGTTGTCCAGAAAGTTCGTGCCGATTTTGAAGGAAAATTGAAACGTAGAAGATTTAAATTTTAGTATACATTTATTAAATTTAAATTTTTTTGCGGCACGAACTTTCCGGATAACCCAATAATAAACAAAAGATATCACTGACACGAAGCTCAATAATGGATAATCTTTGAGCGATATATTAAAGTTTAAAACTTGTATTCACAGAGTACTTTTGACGCACCATAGTTTAAAAATATTCATGGAGTATAAGTTACGAAAAGTTACACTGTTAGAAATGTTCTTAAATTGCATTAAATTTTAAGTTACACAATTTGAACTTAATTTCATGACATTAAATTTAATGTATTTATACCTAAAAAGCATATTTGTATACATATACATAAAATTTAATATATTTTTTGTAAAATTTTATTAAAAGTACAAATTAAATTTCATAAATTTAATGTACACGTTCATTACATTTAAGTAATTGCATTTAAGTAACTTAATTTTTAGTTAATTACTTTTAATTTCGTTCATAACTACGAGCTTCATTTACATCTAAAGAAAACTGGTTACATTTCTAACAATAGCTATAACTGAATAATTTTCGCTCATCAATACAAAAGGTATACGACTTACAATACTATGGAAGTGACTTATATGATCGCTCCAGCCTTAGTAATATTTGTTATATAGATATTATAACTGTAATGATTATGTCTAGCTATGGTTCCGGAAGCATATTGCGGACATTTTATCGACCAGGTTATTGATCACTAACTTTTGTAACTTTTTTCCTAGGGTAGAAACGTGAAAAATAAAAATGTATTGTTTGTATATAATAATGACATCTGATTCTGGATTACTGAGAGTCAGCATGGAAAGAGGTGCGTGATTATTGTAATATGTAATATAAAATGATTACATCTTAGATATCTTGGTGTCTTCTTTATTTAAAAATCTTTGTATGCTTCAACTCACTTTAGAGTACTCTTTAGCATTCTTAATTCTCCTATCTATACTATATTAATTTAGCTGTCTGTCGAGGAAGAGTTACTCATAAATTACCAAATTTGTAGTGATTTCTCAACATACGCCAACCTCATAAAGTTTTGAAATTTCGCAAATT